ATGTTAAATATGTTCGTTCGTTAATTATTCCCCTCCATGAATGGCCTCCATGGCAAGCACTTCAAATGCCTATCCAAGCTACAGTTATAATTAAAACAAAATTAAACCACTGCAATATTATTTCGAATACAGTTTAGAATATATACAACTATAAATTAAGGCCGCATTTAGGTTCGCTTTAACTGAAATTTTAAAGAAGTAGTCAGTGGTTTTCACAAAATTTTGTTCTGACGAACACCATTAAGTCAACAAATCATAACATTCTTGAGCAGTGAAAATAAAAGGTTTACAGCAGTTAATATTGAATTAAATCAGTAAATTGTTTAACTAACCGTTCAAGTTCATCACTGATTCGTTGTGATTCTTCTAATAGCTGATTTGTCCTCTGAAGGATTAAAATAAACAACTGTTATGACAACTCAGACATGGTTGCATTCAGTTTAAATGCCAAAGTCAACTTTTCCACAAAATAAACCTATTTTCCATATTCTTCCATGAACATTCATGAAAACATTTAATAGACACATTCCAGGCTTACTCATGGTGTTCATATCAAATAAATCAATTAATTATCTTGCTTCAAATTATGCTAATTATATAAGGCCAGTCTCACCTTCTCTTCAATGATTTCACGGAGTACATCTATTGATGTAGAAAGTAACTGTAAAGATCCATCACTTCTGTTGCCATAAACAACAATCTGTGAAAACAAATCATTCCCAACATTGTATTAAGAACACAAAACCACCAGACCACATTTGCCTCGCCTAATTATTGCACATTATCATAGTTTTTTTTCCATCTCACAAAACAGGATAATAAATAGACAAGAAATTTGATTTTTTATTAGATGATTTCATAGTAAAGAAATGATCCCACAGACATGGATGATCTTATAAGTTAGGTGGCGACATTTTAGTTTTCCCACAGTATGTTTAGATCACCACAGTAATAGCTAAAATGTGTACCGGTAATGCAAGTATATGTATACTACGCAGACATGATGAAAACAGCAATAAACGTGTGAGCAGAGTGTAATCAATAGGCAATGCAACTGCACGACACCTATGTGATAACTGCATGACCCTAAAGCAATCTATGCATGGTGCAAATACAAAGGACTGATTGCATGAAAGCTGTCCTTTAATTCTGATTCGTCCGACTTATCTCTTTTGATATCTTCACTCACCTTGGTTTTATCAACCAATTTATCATCATCTCTAACTTTCACGTACACCCTCTCCCCATCATGTCCGGTCACAGTTAAATGTTTCCCTTGTGGCTGCCTTCTGAGTACATGTACTGTAGTGTGATTCACATCTCTGCTTAAAGTTCTCGTTTCTGTCTCATTTGGTTCTAATGTAGTATTAAAGTTACATGATTTCTGCTGTCTGTGTTGTTTAATTTTCATCATTATCTTCTCGTCAGCATCAGGGGAAGCAGGGGGTGTGATTTCAAAGTCATCATCATCAATCGCTAAATTTGGACTAATTCGTCGTCTTTTTCTCTTCGGAGCTGTGACAAATAGACATGACATTAATTTTCTTACAGGAATGAAAATAATGTACACAGTAATCAATTACCATAACATTTTTATTTTATTTTCACTGAAATACATGTTATTATTTTGAATGAATTCACTGATTTGTGATAAGATGAATGTAAAATATAGGAAAAAGGGTAATTTCATTGGATTTTATTTGCACTGAATCACCCCTCAAATGAAAAAGAATTCCAAGTGAAATTGACCGCTGCTACACATCGGTTAATACAATCACCATACTTCCTTTGTTTATACTTTAAATTCTTGTTACAACCTTGTATTTTCTGAATTAGCCGCACATGCACTACAATGACAGCGATGTATTTACGGTCAAAAAAAGTTGTATGTTTTTTTGTATGTCACTGCATAGTTCCAAGTATGTGAGTTTCACAGGTTATATGACAGATTTAGTTAGGTAAGCCATTCAGTGAAGAAAAAGCAAACAGATCATTCACTACAACCTGATTATGTAAGGTATGCAAGAGACTACGAGTGCTATAAATCGAGAGCAGATCCAAAATTCAATGGGTGCAAAGAGTAAATACACATTATAAAAACCCATTTTATTTAAATCTTAACATTTTAGGGGGTTTATACTTGTACTAATGCGATAATCCCCCACCTCACCCTTAATCCGCCCCTGTAAATATACATACCGGTAAATGAATAGACCATTTTTCGTTCACTGCGAGAATCACGTGTTATGCGTGAAATCGAACGTAAAAACAGGACAAACAAAGGTCATAGTGTCGTAGTGGCGTCAAACATCGCGTGGGATTCGACAAACGCGAAAGTATTTCGGGGACATTTCCATGCTTAATCATGTGCTGCCCACTTTTCATGATGGGCATTTCTGATTAAGTAAGGGTATTTCGAAGCAATATTCCTCTGTCAAAGATCGGTCGGTCGATGTGAGTTACGAAATAAAGAAATTCTAGTTCAAAATCAAATCGTTTGACTTTTGCGGCAGACGTTCGACGCGCATCTTTCATACATCTCGCGAGATCTCGCAATTGTACGGTAAATCACCTATTATACAATAGGCCCTTTCAAAGAAAG